GTTTTCTTGAGTTTTTACTTTATGCTTTTCTAAGCTGTTTTATTGGTTTTGTGTGCTAACTAGCAAGCATGTACACTAACTATTAACACTATAAATCATTCAAATGAGTATAAATTTCATATAAAAAGCTAAAAACATAAAATATTATCAATTTAGCAATTAACATGTATTCAAGCAATGATATAATCAGCAATGACAAATCAACAATAAAAAGACTAAGACCAAGGGAAAATCAGCAATGACAATAATTAATAAATTAATAAAAACAAATAATAATTTCTGTTGAAATAGAAATTAAATAAAAATTTCATGCAAGCAAATATCAGTTATATGATATAATCAAATTTCATTCAGGCTTGAGCTATTCATAGATTTCTTAAGTAAACTAAAGCAAGCAGTAATCCAAATCAGCAAATGAACAAATGCAATATACAAATAGAAATTAATTAATTAATTAAACAAATTTCAGCCATATAATAAAATTCAGCCATACAATCAAGTTTGTGGTTTTAGACTTTCCGTTTAGCCATATATTAATGATATAAAAAATTATTTGAAAAAAACTGATAAAAAAGTAAGAGTACATAAAATCCTAATTTTATTCAATGAGAAGAAGAATTGAAGAAGAGAAGAGTGTGGTTCAGCTGTTTCTATTTGAAAACTGAAAAAAAAAAGAGTAGGAACTAGGAAGGGAGGAGAGGAGTATAGGGGCAGAAGAGGAAGAGCAGGAAGAAGTATAGGGGATTAGGTGCAGGGAGGAGTATAGGCCCCTGTTTTTCGGAAAAAAAAGGGACTGAGACTATTGACTGAGAACAACAAGGATTAGGGGCAGAGAGGAGTATAGGGGCGGAGCCCCTGTTTTTTCAAAAAAAAAAAAAGGACAGACTAGTGACTGAGAACAGTCGAGCGGAAGAAGAAGAAACTTACGAACTGAAGCTGGAAGTTGGACTGGAGATGGAGCTGGAAGCCTTCGGTTCTCCTCCCTCTTCGATGGAGCAAAAACCCTTGCAAGACAACAAAACAAATGAACAATGTATTCTGTTAGTATTGGCTTAATAATAAAATGTTAACATGTAACCAGTTCTATTCTAAAACAACATAATATCCAATAAAAATATCAGAATAATAAATATGAAAAAAAATAATTTCTTCAATTTATTTAGGTGCCCGCCTAAGTCTCTGGGCGGTCGCCTAGTATACAAAACCATAGGCGTTTGGGTGAGGTGACACTGTAAAACTGCTATGACCAAGTATTTTCATAGTTGGCCAATGGAAGGAGAAAGAAAAACCTTGTGTCTAGATTGAAGACAGAAGGTGAAGTGCTTATTCAACAGGAGGAGATAAGGTGTTTGTCAATCACTTCCAAATCAGTTGTAGAAGGCCTTTGAGTGAAAGAATTGAGGTGGAAGGTTTGGATTGGCTGTGCCTTGGCACTTAGCAGAGAAGTCAGCAAGGTGCTAGATGATCAATTTGAGTTGGAGGAAATTAGGGAAGCTATGTTTTCTATGGATAAAAATATGGGACTGGATGGTTTCACTATGGCCTTCTATCAAATCAAGATTGTTGGGACATTCTTAAGTGTGTGACCTATTGGATTGTTTAATAAATTCTTTGAGAAGGGGATCATTAACCTGGGATTGAATGCATCTATTTTAGCTATGATCCCTATAAAGCATGGTGCTACCCACCCAGAAGATTTAAGACCTATTAGCTTGTAATAGTCCTTAGAAGATAATTTCTAAGGATTTGAGATTAAAAAGGTCCTTCCTTCCATTATCACTTCCAACCAAGGAATCTTTGTGCAAAATAGGCAACTAAATTAGATTCTTATAGCAAATGAATCTATGGATGAATCCAAGAAATTTGGAAACAAATATATTATATGTAAGTTAGATATAGAAACGTTTTATGATCTAGTTGATTGTCATTTTTATTGGAAGCGTGATTTTGGGGAGAGATGGTTTAAGTGGATTTGGGGTTGCATCTGATCTTGTCATTTTTTGTTCTTAGTGAATGGAACTCTTAAAGACTGTTTTCCAGCTTGTGGAGGAATTAGGCAGGGTGACCCCTCTCCCCCTTCTTATTTACTTTCAGCACTGATGTTTTTAGCAGATTATTCTTGAGGATGGATAAAATGCAATTATTTTGAGTATGGGGGATATCAATTCGAAGATGGATCCATGGGGGGGGNGGGGGGGGGGTGAAGTCAGGAGTTGGGTGTAATGTTTGTTTTCTTGGTTCCCATAGTTTGGGAATATTTATGCTCTCTCAGGTGACACCCCATTACCTTTCTTGTAATCCTCTTTTTATTTTAATAAATTTTATTTTATTTAGAAAATGTGGAGGAGAGGGAATTAGAGTTGTTTGCAAATATTTTAGGTTGCTTTGTGTCATCTTGGCCGCTAAAGTATCTAGGTCTCACCTTAGGAGTTAATCCAAGAAACTATAATTTTTGGTCCTTGTTTATAGAAAGAATGTCCAAGAGATTAATGGGATGGAAGAAAGGCTACATTTCATTTTTAGGTAGGATAACACTAATTAAATCCACTTAGGCTTGTCTTCTGGTGTATTATTTGTCGATCTTTAGGATTTCAAAAAGAATGGGGAAATAGTTGGAAAAATTATAGAGAGATTTCTTGTGGGAACTGAGGGAGTAAAAGAAGGATCATTTAATAAAGTGGGAGTTGGTTTGTAGATGTAAAAACTTTGAAGGCTTGGGGATAGGGAATATAGACGTGAGAAACATGGCTTTGTTGCGTAAGTGGCTGTGGAGATTGCCTGGAGATGGAGGTAATTTGTAGCACAAGGTTATTCTAAGTATACATGGGCTATTGGATAATGGATGGGATGCTGGATTGTCAACAAGGTTTTCATGGGCTTCTCCTTGGAAGGCTATTCATTCTATTCTTTCTTGTGTACCTTTTTTTTGGTAATAAATAAAAAGGAAAAGTTTATTGATAAAAGGAAGAGTACATCAATCAGGTTGATGAGGAATCACCACAACTTAGACTCTAAACAACTTAAAAAGACAAATACTACAAAGAGGAAAGAAAAGTATAAGATTAAACTGCTTGGGATCCTTTCAATGTAGGCCAGTGAACAAAAATGACTCCTGGAAACCTTTATTTTTTATTTATTTCTGTGACTCCAGGAAACCTTGGAATCACCATAATAGTTCTGAGGCAGCCTGAAGACATCCCCAAAAGAGTTTTCAAATAGAACAATCAACGTGCAGATGAAGCACAATCTCCTGCACAGAGACACACCTTAAACACCTTGGCAGATGGCTATCACTTGTGAACCTCAAAAAAACTAAGCCCAATAAAAACTTCTATCAAAGCAACACAACCCTCGGGAGAAAAAACCGAGAATTGCCCACCCAAGGCATATCAAAGCCTATCAGCACTCATCGAGTATTGTAGCTCTAGCTCCTGAAATGCTCTTCTGGTATATTCTTCCCCTTCTAAAACCAGTAAACCCAATTTTCTACCCCTTTCTTGCTAACGTTTATGTATCAGGTATGATGTTTATTCTGGTAACAAAGTCAAATTTTGGGAAAATGCACGTGTGTGGAACTCTCCTCGTAAAGATCAATTTCCTTCTTTATATGCTTGATTATCTTTTGAGAAGGTTGTCTCAAAGTTTGCTTCTCCTTTGAACCCTTAGATTAATGCTTTTGATGTGCTTCAAAAGTGGAGATCTTTCTGCTTCCTCCAGCTTGGTTTATTCTTTGTAAGGCTAATGGTGAGACTTACCTTCACTTGCCAATCTCCTATCTGTTTGTCAATTGTATTTGGGAACGGTTCTTTTGTCTTTTTGGGTGAGGTGGATTCCTCCATCAAATATGGCAAGCCTGTTTGATGCCAATGTGTTTGCTTGGTTAAAAAAGAGAGGAAAGAGTGTGGAGATACACAAGAACTGCTGTAATTTGGACAATTTGGGAAGAAAGAAATGCAAGACTTTTTAGGGATCAAGAAAGGAGACTCAATGCATTGATTGAATACTTTATGGTGGCTCACTGGATTAAAATTATTGAGAGCTTCACATCCTATACAATAGATGATATTATTAGAAATCTGAAGTGGTAGGGACCTTAGTGAGGAAGGCTTTGATATGTAGGGAATGGGCAACATTATAGGCTTTTTTTCAGCACCGATTGGTATGGGTGATTCTTTAAGGGCTGAAGTAATGGCAGTATTGGAAGGAGAAATGACAAACTTGATGAACTTGAATAGGTTAGTTACTGAAGATGATTCAAGGACAGTGAGTGGATGGTTGCAAAAGATTGGTGCATCTCTTTGGACTTGTAGCAATGAAATCAAGAAATTCATATGGTTAACAAGAGTGATAATCCAATGGGTTCAAAGAAATGCAAACAGCATGGATGATTACTTGCAAAACAAGGGGTGGGGATAGAGCAATCTTTTTGGGCATCTTGATAATTTTGTTTGGAAAAATGGCTATAAGTGGGAGGTAAAATCTTTTTATCTCCCTATTGATGGGTTGTATGTTGTATTTTCCCTTTTATTTAATTAATAAAATGGTTGGTTATTGATAAAGAAAAAGGAAAGGAGAAGAGAGACTTGATGGGGGAAGAAGTCTAACAAGATCTGGTTTACCCACTTAATCTTTTATGATAACTAATTATATTAATTGCAGAACTACTCTTCCTTGGTTATCACCGTCTGGTCCAAAAATTTACTGTTAAAATCCAAAATACCTAGTACAAGATACAGATCTAGTGTGTCTTGAGCTCCATCAAGTTAAACCCTATAGTTTTCTTCTTCTTTTGTATAAAATAAGCATGCTTTGGTCTTTTAATAATCCTCTTGACAAATTTGAGAAGTCTTCTTTATTTGAGCATGTTGACATTGGTTTTTGTTTAAAATTTATTTCTGATTTTGTATTGGCTATTCATGCTTTTGTCACATCAAGAACTATGCAATTTTTCCCTTCAGGCTCTTTCAGCAATTTTAATTGCACAATGCTTTATTTTGCAGAAATTCTTGGATAGTTCCAAGCTGAAAAGGCACTTTCTCATTCATACAGGGGAGAGGCATTTTGTATGCCCTCATGAAGGTTGTGGTAAGGTGAATATCCTACTTCATAAGTCTGCTACAATTTAGAACTTTGTTATATTGTGGGAATTCTTGTAGTATCTTAGTTATCATGTCTAGTGTGAATTCTTGGATGATATGGGCTGCCTTCTGTTGGAAGTCTACTTTTTTTTTTTCATGTCTGGAATATATTGTCCTTTGACCCTTTTACCCTACAAATATTGTTACTGGGATTACTACGGTGCTATATTGTGTCAGATACCTCAAATTTTAGTATATATGGTGGTGCAACTTATGACCAGACAATGTTTAAACTTAACAGAGGCATCCAGTTTGTGGTATACTCTTAATTTACATGTAAGACTTGTGCAGCAAGAAACCCAAACAGTGTACGAAACTTGGGGTTTTGATGGTCCTTTCTTTTTTTTGTTTTCAAGAGAAGATTGTTTACACTATTTTGAATGATTTTTATTGGAGAGAAGATGAGATGAACTGGATAATTATAACAACCGATTTCTTTTGTAGGTTGAGAATCTATTATGAAGTGATAAGGGTTCATTAAATTCAAGGTTCCTACCTGTGCTTTAGGGCTTTCATTGGTTCTGGTCATCCCGACAGATCCAAATTAATCTGACCCTATTATGTAGTGTCTGGATCTGTATTAGTCCTCATTATTAATAGGATTGGTTATGTGCTTACTTGTTCTGACTTCTGACTCAATTGTCAAATTGTCAGGCTAAAGGCCATTCAGTTAATATTGGGTCTTATCATTATTCATTGTTTTAGTTAATAAGAAAATTTGCCAAATGCAGGCTTTCTCCCTGGATTTCAACTTGCGGGCACACATGCGAACACATTCACAAGAAAATTATCACATTTGCCCATATGTAGACTGTGGAAAGAGATATGCTCATGAATACAAGTTAAAAACTCACATCAAGGCTCACCATGAAAAGGTTGGTGTACTTGCTCTCAGTTTCAGCTTTATTTTTTCATTTCATGTCCACAACATTGGTTGTTTCCTTAATGGTTAGTTTGTGAGAAGAGGGTGAATTTTTCCCAGTAAGCAGACAACGTATATTTTTGGAAACAAGGTTCAGAGTATCAATATGGATGATATGCAAAATTTGTTTATTGCCTGATTCTGAACATTGATACAGGCTGAAAATAGCAATATTTCAGAACGATTTTTGAGATCTACATTCTACCCAACGAATATTAAGCTTTGAGCATCATTTTTTTTTTCAAATTTGCAGTATCTCATGTATTGCCCACCCTGAAAATCAACAAGAATTGTATGATATGGTGTGATACATATTGATACTTTGATCCTTGGTTGAAACAATTTCTAGTTGCCAATCCTATGCTAGAGATCAAAATAATTCTTTGGTTACATTTTTAAATTTTTGGCTGAAAGGTCATCATCCGATCATAATCACATGGGTGACCATAGTGCTTCACTATTATTTTTGATAAAATTGATATGGTTTTCAATTGGCTTGGGAAATTACTTAATGTTACAAGAATACTGAAGACCAAAGTATGTCTGTACCTTGAATATCAATTAAAGAATATCTGTACTTCAAAATTTATCCGAAAAAATTGGAATCTTAATCTGCAAGCAGGAGAGTGCTGGGACACGTGAACATTTTATTGTTCTCTTGGAAAGAGGTGGTTATTATTAGATTTTGAATCATATATTTCTTCAACAATATTTCAGAACATGGCGATGGATGCGATGAAACATACCCCACCCTCGGAGAAGCTTCCAAATACTTCAAAGCCTTCAGCAGTTGGCTATGGATCTGCTTCATCAGACCGCCCTTATGCCTGTCCTTACGAAGGATGTGACAAGTGCTACATTCATGAGTACAAGCTTAACCTCCACCTGAAAAGAGAGCATCCTGGCCATAACTTAGAAGAGAATGGAAAGCATGCTGCTACTGATGCTGATAATGAGATGGATGAAGCCAGTGATCAAGATGCTTATGCTGGAAAGAGTGGTAGTGGAAAGAATTCTAAACGAAGCAAGCCCAAGCCAGTCTCGAAGATGCCACCTGCAAAGATTGCACAGCGGAAGGGTTCAAGTGCCCCTCCTGCTAATCTGAATGTGATTAAAAAACAGTGGCCAAGCAAAGACATGTACGAGGAAGAGGATAGCGAGGAAACAGAAGAGGATCGTGACAATGTTGAGGATGGGTGGAGGTATGCAGAGAACAACGAGGATGATGAGGAGACAGAATATGAGGATTAAGGCTGATTCGATGACTCTGTATGTATGGGACTTTTATGCCCAAATTGACCATTTTTTGAAACTTAAAATATTAGTGATAACAGATAATATTTTAATCATATATGTAAGTAGTCCTTTCTTTTTCTTATTTTCGGTTCTTCCTTGGCACCTCTTTCTCCCTCGAATTATGATATCCCATAATTCAAAGTAACAACTTTGATTTTCTTTCATCTCCTTAGTTCTCTTTTTTTTTTTTTTTCCTCAAATTTTCTCAAGGATTTCTTTTGAGTCTGCAACGATTTTCTGTTTTATCCAAATTCTTGGCAAAAAGGTTCTGCAAAATATGTTGATATTATTTTCTTCTGTTATCAAGGCAGGTAAGTATGAGAGTGCTTAAAAATAAGCTGTTCGAATTTCGAATAAACACTTGAGGTGCGGCACATCCCAACCATATATTGGGAACATCTCTTGATGATATCTCATCATCTCCGGTACTTATCATTGAGAGATGTTCATGTGCTGTGGGGCACCCTCTTGTGGGGTGCTGATGTAAACTCTATTTTAGGTTGGGATCACACCAATAAGTGCTTATTTGCATTGAATTGAGATCTGCTCTTCAAAGAGTGCTCCTTACACCGACCTCAGCCACATCCCACCAAGTATTGGGAACACCTCCCCACGAATAATAAATACAAGTATGGGAGATGTTCTCGATGTGTGGCCATTTGGCCAGAACATGCTATGAGGTCGGTGTGAGGAGCAGATTTGGACTCATTTGCATTTTGGAAATAGGCCTGAATAAGTGCTTATTCGATAATTCAAAAATTGGGCTTATATTTAAGTGCTTATTCAAAAAGTTCTTAGGCCATGTTTGGGAGTGTTTAAAAATAAGTGCTTATTTGAAATAAGTGTGTATTTGAGCCAGGACCATGCCATCAAGCACTTATTGGCAAGGTGCAAAATATCAATACAGGTCGATATGTTGGTAGGGCGTATCGGCCCGTATCGATATTGTTTTTTTGTGTTTTTTTTTTTGAAACTGGTTCAGAGGGACTGGCTTAAGGTCGGTCTACCCTCTGACTCACTTGCCGACCCGAAACACCCCTTGTAGGGGTGTATCAGGAAGGCTTTGATACGATACATATCGGCCCGTTGTGACAAAATTTGGATCATTGCGTATTGGTGCTTTCGTAAAAGTACTTTTATAAAAGTGCTTTCATAAACATGTTTTTGTGTAAAAGTACTTCTCATAAAATCATAAAATTATTTTTATAAAAGTGCTTTCATAAAGTGTTTTTATAAAGTAATTTAACAAAAGTACTTTCATAAGGGTATATTTTAAAAATTTGAAAGAAAATGAAGGACAAAATAGTCACAAATGCTTATTGGAGAAAAAGACTACCAAACACCTAATATGAAATAAGTACTTATTTTTTAAATTGAACACTTGAAAAAATTGGGTGCAAAATACAAATAATTGCTTATTCGAATAAACACTTATTTTTAAGCACTTAATTTTAGGATATACACTTTCAAAAATGACCTTATTTCCTTTCTAACCTGTCTTGGCCTGCCATGTTATTTTAAAAATACCTATACTGCCACTGTTTGAAATAAGTGTTTTTTTCATCAAACAATTATAAATACTTAATTTAGCACTCCCAAACTCTGCCTAAATTTAATCCGTTTCTTTTCTTTTGTTTATTTGTTTTTGTGTGGAGCCGGCATGGTCTAAGTCTGAACCCACCAAATATCGTCTGTCGTGAAGGCATGGTACCTGGCCAAATTTTCAGCGCAGGGAGCAAAGTCATAAATAGGGTGATGCAACTGTTTTGACTCTTTCTAAAATCCATGGTTTTTAAAAACGAGCCAGTGACCAAACCGGTCAGGGGTCTGGTTATTGGTTCGAATGGACGGTTCATTTTGACAAAAAAATAAAAAAATTGGAAAACGGTCAAAACTATTTGAATAGTTCGAACGGTTTGAACGATTAATCAGCCGGTTCAGCGGTTTCTGATCAAAATCAACGGTTTTGGAGGAAAACGAAACAGGTGACCGGTTTCTGCTTTTTCCCGTCCGATCGTTCAGTCCGATCCGATTTTGAAAACAATACTAAAATCTTCTCTAATAGAAGAACATCTTTTGTTTGTATTAATGGGTTAGTGGCGTTTTTATAGAGTGGAAGATATATTCCTGTTCAATTATGGATTTCTAAGGTCCTCTCCTCCCTTTGTGACATGGTGGGCTGGATTTACTGAGAACTTTCCTTTTGTGTCAGGAAGTCAGGCTAATTTATCTAGCCACGTGAAATTTGTCTTTTTCTTGGTTAATTCCTCCCAATTTCAGCAAAACTAACATAATTGAAGTGTCTCTTCTTCATGGCCTATTTTCATTGGGCCCGTTTGGTGCGTCATTCTGCATGGTCTTTTGATTATTTACAAGTTGGGCAGACTGATTTTTGGTCTATTTTCGTTTGTTTCATGGGGGATTTAGTCGCCAAAAGTCGGAGCGCCGGAAAGACACGAAAAGCCCATTTTGGGCTGATTTCGGGAAACTCCAAATAAAGCTTTTTGTATTTTTCGCGTTTTATTCTCATGCAGAAAGACAGAAAAGCGCACAAAAAGATATATATCTGCCAAACGTATTTTGAGCTATTCAGATCTTCATACAAAAGTTCAATACGTCTTTTGATTGTCAAAACCATCAGAAGATCTTCCCAAAAAGACATGTTAATAAGTTTTGCAGCCTTGTTTGGGCCATTCGGGCTTCACTTTGGACCCACAATCCTATGACTCTCAACCAATGAAGCCCCATGGATCAGTCATTGTATAACTTTCACCTGTTTTAACTTACCAATAAGTGCCTCAGCAAATTCTCAACCGCCCCATGGATCTTCATGGTCTATCTTCTTTGTTTGTTTTCTTTTATTTTTACTTTTGTTTGAGAAAACAGTTAGCTTTTTACAACCTTGCCCACAATGAGAGAGGCTCCATACAATGTAGGCTTGCTTTTCTAGGAAGGCCAAGAGGGAAAAATGAGGATCCAGAAGGCTTAAACCCCCATCAAGCTTCTTGTTAATTGTTTCCCAACTAACCCAGTTAATATTTTTGTTTTTTCCTTAATTGACAGTAAGAAACAAGTTATAGCATAAGTTGGAATAGCTAAAGGTTTCCTTACTTTCCCTTTTCCTATTTTTTCCTTCGAACCAAACACAACCAAAAGATTTTTGCCTCACTGAAATCAGTGAGGAGGCTATATATGTACTAAGCTCTTGTCAGGATTTTCTAGTTTTTGTAACAAGTTTTCATGATAAAGGAAATATCTTTTTTTTTTGGTAATAGATGATAAAGGAAATATCCGAGTATTATAATTTGCTTATTGACCTACATCGATTTTTGACTCTAGTGACCCTTGACCCTAAACTTTAAGAAAAGGCCATTTTCAACCTTGAACTATTAAGAAAAGGCCACTGTAAGGCCAAAGTGGATGATGTTTAAGACATCATCGGTGAATCCATTAGATATCTATTAAAATAATCATTTTAAATGACATGGCTTGCCGAGTCATCCTTGAACAAAGTGTACACGTCAGAACAACCCATTAACCAAAGTGTACACGTCAACAAAACCCATAATAACCCAAAACAAAATTAAATCAAATAAAAGAAAAAAGAACAAAGAGAAAAGGAAACGAAGACAAGAAAAGAGAACAAAGAGATTCGAGTTGTCTTCTTAATCTCTGACCACCATTTACAAAGCTTCAGCTTTCACAAATATTTACATGCGTTAGAAATCATATTACTAACCTCTATCCTGAGCTCCATCGAAGTTCACATTGTCTCAAGGTTTTTTCTTCTCCTCCCACCATCCTAGAGTTTTTACATAGCTTTTTTTGGATGGATGCATTAGTGTAAAAGCTCACCTCGTCCTTCTATTGAAGTGCTTCTAGGTCATGAACATAAAGTAAAAGAGAGCATGGAGGCTTTTCACATGTACTGCAATCGAACTTTTACCTTTGTTTGATAAGAAAGGCATTTCTTTTTATAAGTTTGGTAGCTTTTAATTACCCATAGTTACCGGTACCCAATGCATTATGTAGGCAGTAAAACCATTATTTTTAATTAATTATTTTGTTTTTCCTTTTTTATGTAATACAGAGCATCATGGTTGTAAGATATGCTTTTGGAATTGCAATGGTTTTGATGTAGCGCAATCCGGTCGGTCCTAACTGTAAATGACCTTGCCTCTGACTGGAGCAAAAGGTGCCTGAAACGGGGAAGAAGGCGAGTAGTCTCCGGGGAGGAACCCGGTGAGAGTGCTTTGAAGCTCAAGTTAGTATTTCCTCAAAGGCAAGATCAAAAACCAGATGGCGCAAAATTATCATGTACCTCAATTCTCGGGGGGAAGAGGGCCTTTTATAACCACTTTGCGCACTCACTCCCAAGCTCCTGTCAGGTCGGGTATCATTACCTCTGCGCTTCTGCCAGTTCGGGTGCATCACCTCTGCACCTCTGCCAGTTCGGATGTCGTCACCTCTGTTGGGGCAGGCAACCGCCACTGCTCTCTTTGTCGGAGCCGTCTCTGTAACTGGAGGTGGCGGTGGTAGGTGGCCGTTGAAGTGCGGCTGTCAAGCGTCAGATCCTAAGTCAGTCAGGTGTGCCGCCTCAGGATACAGACTCCTCTAGTGTCAGGTATGGTTGTTTAGTTCGGTGGCCTAGAGACGGAGTGCCGGGGTGGTGTGCGAGGTAAAGTCTTGAGTTCGGATAGAAGTGTGGCCCGAACTGCCCTGGGGTGGGCCAGTTCGGGTTGGTGCCCTTTGCACTCCTCGCAAGGCTTGGGGTCAAAGGGAGAGTTCGGGCTTCTTTCGGGGAGCTCGGGTCACGGGTTCCTCTTGGGAGAGCTCGGGGCTCCTCTTCTGGGAGCTCGCGCCTTGAACACTGCCGTGCCGAGTTGTCGTTCCTGCCAGGTCACCCTCGGTTGCTTCCACGTGTCGGGTGGCCAAGAGGTCGGGTCAAATCTACCTCCATCAATTGCCCCCCACTCCTCGTGCTAAGGGTCTTTGCGAGGTGACGGGTGGATTTGACCCACACTTCAAACCGTTTGACCGATGGCGTGAAGTGTGCGTACATTAGGAGATTTTCGGATTCCTCGAGCGCAAAAAAGTCAGAAAATGCGCCAGTCGGCCTTTAAATGCTGGGAGGTGCGACGACG